TGCTATATGTGTATTTTTTGTATAATAGCTACTACATTTACAATTATTCATTAAAAATAATATTTTAAAAAATCGTTTGTTTGATACTCAGAGTGGGAAACCCCCCCACCACCACCACCGGCACATATGCACGACAGGCTGATCGATGAAATGCGCAACCGGGAGGACATCGGCTACCACATCTTCGAGTTTAGACACCCACTCCAGTTCAGTTGAACTGGCTTGTTTAAAAAATGTCTATATCATCACGTGGTTGTTTGGAATTATTAAAAAAAACAGTGACGCTGCCATGCCGTACTTCTCTTTTTGAAACAAATGCCATACTTCTCTGATGATGGTGATTCAAAACGGCTAAAAATCCGCAAAAAATGCAGCATTAAAGGAGCAGAAATCATAATAATAGGTTATAGTTATGGATAAAGGAACCGTGCTGAGATACACCGAAGGAAAGAAAAGACCGACAGGGGGCATGGTATACGGACGAAAATAGATACAATCATACAATTAAGCAAGAGAGAACAGGGAGGGAGGTCAATGTACTAATGTCATGCTGTTGACGCTAAAGCACACGATTGAGTCGATGCGATGCCCCGGCCAGGCAATGGAAGAAACTGCAGGCCAGTGATTTATTGGTTGGTGCCGAGCAAGACTACTTGTCCTTCTCGCTCCCCGTGGCGCGCAGCACCATGATCTCCATAGAAACCCCTGGCCCGAGGCCCAGCACGACTCTCGCCCACCTGATTCTCCTCAAGGTGGCGGCGTAGTTCATGAAGAACGAAGAAGATGGAGGGACCGGACATGTTTCCGCACTCCCTGAGCACGCGTCGGCTTGCCATGAGCTTTGCAGGCTCCAACTGGAGCTGGAGCCCCGCCTCGATGCTGTCCAAGACAGCGCGCCCACCAGGGCGCACGGCCCAGAACAGCTTGTTCCAAGGGTCGCTAATTCCAAGAGGTGCAAGCGCATCAGCGACGCACTGGTGGATGTTCTCGCGTACCAGCCCTGGGATCTCCCTCGAGGGATGGAACAACAGGCCGGCCGACGGCGGCGTTGGTGCTCTCGGGTATCTTGCTCGGAACATCATCAGAGTGAGCTCCGCACACACAACGAGGACGCGCGCGCCGCGGTTGCTCTCGGCTATGTCCTTTGCGACGCGGAGCACAGCAGCGCCGCTGGAACAACCAACCGCTCGTCGTGCGCCGCACCGATGATCGCAGTCCCAGGATCGATGCCAGGCAGAAATCCAATCCTGTCATGTGGGCGCCAGAGTATGTGCTGGCGACGACATCTGTGATCTCCCAGGCGGGACGCCCCCACTCGGCAATAGCCTCCGCCGCGGCCACCGCAGCGAGCTCGGGGATGGCTGGCACTCCCAGGTTGACTATCTCTGGGTTTTCTTAAAGCAAGTTGTCGGTGTGGTAGAAAAACCGCTTGTCGATCTCCGACTCTTCGCCTGCACGAAAAGCAGCATATATTCAGAAATACAAGGCCTAAGCACAGCAAAACGGATGGTTACGACGCTGTCACTTACAGATTCTTTTCATCCTTTCCTTCAGGTTTGTTAGGTGGCTCCTATTGGTGACGCCCAAGTAGCAGTCGGCGTAGGCGTCCTGTTAGATGCAGTTCGGTGGGTTCGCCGTCCCGATGGCGAGCACGGACGCCGGACCGTCCGGGTGCTGCGCCGGTCACCGGGCTAGCCATACGGCTTGCAAGAACCAGCATCTTGGTAAGCACGCTTGTTGAGGACGAAGGCCACTATAGCTAGATGAAAATGCGCTCGCTGGACGTACGTGGTTAAACCCGAAAGCCTTAGAAAGTGTCGACGTGAGTGCGGCTGGTCTGGACGCAGTTGTGCGTCTATATTATAATATGGAGCAGCGCCTAGGAGGAACGGGAGGGGGGGCTTCTCTTCCTCCAAGCCAGCCGACAAGGTTCCAGAGTAGCATTCTGCTCCAGTTACCAACAGGAGCGCGCGTATATGTGTATATTTTCAGATAACGAGACTCCAGAAAGAAAGGAGGCAAGCGCGCGCGGGTCCTGCTGAGGACATGGGACCTGTCGGTTATCAAGTAGCCGACAAGGTTCCTATCGGGATTCCAGTTGCCGACAGGTTGGTATACTACATTTACAATTATTCATTAAAACATATTATTTAAAAAATGTGGGGAACCCCCCCCCCGGCGCTGATCGATGAAATGCGCAACGGGGAGGACATCAGCTACCACATCTTCTGAGTTTAGACATCTCCTTGCTACTCTTTGTACAGTTCAGTTGAACTGGCTTGTTAAAAAAATGTCTATATCATCACGTGGTTGTTTGGAATTGTTAAAAAAACAGTGACGATGACAAACGTTTCCCCGCACCATGCCATACTTCTCTTTTTGAAACAAATGCCATACTTCTCTCATGATGGCGATTCAAAACGGCTAAAAAATTTGTTTTCGCAAAAAAAATGCAGCATTAAAGGAAGCGAAATCATAATAATAGGTTATAGTTATAGATAAAGGAACCGTGCTGAGATACACCAAAGGAAAGAAAAGACCGACAGGGGCCATGGTATACGAACGAAAAGAGATACAATCTCTCACGACTAAAAAGATTAAAGAGAAGACAACGTTTCCGTGCTACGTAATTTCGCCTCACCTTCGTCCGGCCGGCCCGTGCAATCCAACTCCACGAATAAAATCCGACGTCCTCCGAAGGAAAGCACACGAAAGGATTGGTTTCGTCGCGACAATCCATCGCTCCGTCGGTCCGCCTTCCCCTGCGATCCCCTGCCGCTCGCCCCGTGACCGCGAGTCCACGCCGCGCAAAGAAAGCCCCGATCCCGCACAATCATCGCGAGTCCACCCGCACAATCACCGCAAGTCCACGCCGCACAATCACCGCAATGAATTTTGCCTTCCTTCCCCCCAATCCGTAGCCCGGTCGCGAAGTCCCTGCAACCGCGTCGACCAGAACGATCCCCACCATCGCGAAGTCCCTACAACCGCCGCCACCAGCCCGCATCCTCGCACTGACGTTGATCGCGCCCCACGTCCAGCGGCTCCTCGCATACTCCTCATCATCGTTCATCGGAACATCACGCCGTTCGCATACTCTGTCCGCAGGTGTGGTTTACGATCCCCATGAAACTAAAGCTTAATCAGATGTGCCTTTCCTCCATTGCCACTGATAGACCTTTTTTTGCTTCAACTTTCCCTACTCATTGAATGGTCGTAAGGTGATCGCTGCTGTTCCTTTGGCACGGTTCCTATTTGATAGTCATTAATTATCTCAGTGAATTTTAACTACACCACTAAAGATAATCGTAAGATGATCTGGTAGTTGACAACTAAACCTCGAATTCTACTGATCTGGTAGTTTACAGTCATTAACTATCCCAGTGAATTTCAGTTTTCATATATATAATCCATATAGAAATTTATATGGTTTGTTCATGATTTTGTTTGGTGCAGAACTGAAAAAATCCGAATCCAAAAATGACCAAAATTGTTTGCAATTTGCCAAATTTGAATTAGCAGTTCTGTCAACACAGGGAACTAACAACTGTTGTAGTTTGGAGATTGATGCAGAAGGATATTCAAAAATTGTGCCTATGTACAAGACCTGCTACTGGTTTTGCTTTACCTCTGAATCCCCCATAGAGTAGACTCATCTTATCACCTTGCACATGATGCATTGAGAAGCAACTCAAGGATCAGCTGGCCGTTTATTTGTGTCATGCTGGAAAAAACTTTAGGGCCAAATGCTGGTCCTGTCACTTTGTTACCGGTTCTAACCTGTTCACTTTTAACCATGCATCTTTCAGTTTTAAAGAGGTTCTGATATATATCTGCCATGCTGCTCCTCTCTTTTCGTAGGTTTGCTACTTCTCTTCCTCCACGACCACGAGGGCCCCAACTGCACAGTAGTATTCTGCTCCAGAAAGAAAGGAGGCAAGCGCGCGCGGTCCCGCTGTATATTTTCAGGACGCCTCGAGACTACAGAAAAGTTATTCATGTTAAACTACTGTTTTTAAAGCCATGTTAAGCTGAGTCGACAAAGAAAATAGTAATTCAGGATCGTAAAAATACTACTACGCAGCACAAGGGCATTTTTACGAGAGTGGACGCATATGCTAATCAGCATCATTAGTTTATTACTAGCCCCTCCATCCCAGAAAGAATGCTAACTCTCACTTTCCGAAGAGTCAAACAATTTCAATTTTAACTAAATTTATACAAAATAATATTAACATTTATATTACAAAATAAGTATCATTAGATTAATTATGTAATATATTTTCATACTAAATTTATTTAGAAATATAAATGTTAGTAGTTTTTTTTATATATAAATTTGGTCAAACTTGAACTTATTTGACAGAAGCCCATCGAATGGAAAAGAATTTCAAAAGGCAAGATGAGTTAGTTTTTCATATTGGTCCAAACTAAAGAAGCCCACTGAACGGAAAAGAACACAATTTGAAATAAAAAGAACACACACAACTGGTACTTCCAACATGCCAAAGTGTGATGCCTCTTGCGTTGCACACTCTTGAACATTTTGGGTGGCATCCAAAAAATAATGAACAGCAACAAAACGGTTTTGGACAGGTTAGTGTTTGGGCCTCCAACTCTAGGAACCATTTTGGATAGCGAAAGTTGGGTTGGGCCAAACCGATAAGTAGATCTCAGCCCATATTTCCATAATCCCATGAGGCCATGTTGAATCAAAACGAAGACAAGGCGCACACACAAGAAAACGACCGAACAGCATAGTCACAGGAGCCATATAATTAACTTTTCACACTAATTATTAATCCATTACAATCACCATCCTTATTAACCTCAGCTCCAATCTCCAATCGCTAGTACTAGTGGCCAGTGGACAACACTTGTGACCACTACTACTGATAACCCAATAGCAATACTACCAAGGACCAGAGATTAAGCACATGGCAATCGCAGGATTGCCACGTGCAGCACACACACTATCTCCAACTCCGAGGACTCGCTGCTCACTCCCAGATGCCGACCTCCATGAATCCATCCTCGGTGGCACAGCCCCGGAACATGCCGGTGCAGTTAAAGCCGTAGGCCACCTCGCCGGCGCTGGACACGGCGATGAGCCCCGCGAACCCCTCGTCGAGGCGCTCCTTGACGCAGTAGTCGACGGCCTGCTGCAGGGGCAGGCCCTTGTACTCCATGACGGCGGCCACGTCCCGCGCCAGCGTGCACCGGATGATGGCCTCGCCCTCGCCCGTGCACGACACGGCGCACGCGCCGCACGCGTAGGTGCCCGACCCGATGAGCGGCGAGTCCCCGATGCGGCCCGTCATCTTGTTCATGAGCCCGCCCGTGGACGTGGCCGCCGCGCAGGCCCCCGACGAGTCCACCACCGCGCACCCCACCGTCTCCGGCGCGTACACGCTGATGGGCAGCCCGTTCATCACCATGCCCGCCTTGTGGGGGTTGCTGCTGTCCGCCGCGCCCGCCAGCGCGCTGCACGTGTCCGCTCCCGTCAGGGGGATCCGGTAGTCAAACTGCGCAAGCGCGAACAAAGGAAAAAAAAAAAACCATGGTCAGTTCAGTTCACGGCTGAATTGATATCAATTTTTAATAAATATAAAATAAAACTAAGGTAGGAAATAATAGGAGTGATGCATGAGACGGGAACGAACCAGGATGGTGCCGGCCTCCTTGGCGAGCTTGAGCATGCCGACGTTGTCCTCCGTGATGAAGTAGCTATTGTCCACGGTCTCGAGGCCCTGCAGAAAATACATCGAGTCGACATCAGAACACGGGTGAAAAACCTTGAAAAAAATACAGTAAAACCTGTAGAATCCGCCAACTAATCTCCGAAACATTTTGGCCGCGCTTAGTGCAGGAGCGCAAGATCTGGAGGATTCGGTGCGCGCGCATCGAATCTTGTTGTTGGGCACGGTACGTCCGGTGGACCACGGCGAGGCGAGGCGACAGATTCCGGTGCGAGACGGACACGGCCACACGGGCAGGTGGAGGCCGCTGGTCCCTGCGCGGCAGCGGAGCCCGCGCCTGGATTCCGTGGTGCGGCTGGGCGGCTGCCCGGCCCACACGAACAACGGCACAACACCGGGCACGCGCATGGTTTCCGAGGGCAAACAGACAGCAGAGGGGCATGGCGCGTGAGGCGCACACTGGAGCAGGAGCCATAGTTCGGTAGTAGTGGCTGTAGAGCTGTGCTACACCTCCATGGACCATGGTGAGCTAGCCAGCTTGGGGGAACCGACCCGTCCTAGGCTCATGAACTGACCAGCTGCTCCGCAGCAGGTCACACTTGCTTAGGGCCTGTTCGGTTCCCGGGGATCGAGGTGCTGGAACCGTTCCGGCCAGGAACATTTGTTTAAATTGCACGTAGCAGACTTCAGCGGGAATGGTTCCGGCCAGTGACTCTAAACGAATGAGCCCTTAGTAGCAAGTGGAAAGAATGTGAGGCCCGGAGGAATAATGAGCATAGTTTTCCTTTTCTGCATGGGACAAGGCAGGATTCATCTTCTCAGCAGACTATGCACAGTGCTTTGGTAGACAAACATATATACGTTGGAGTACTACGTAGCAAAGCTTCCTAGGAAAAGTACTATTGTGCAGAGGGAAAGGAGGGGGGAAAGGCACCTTTTTGGCCATTTTCCAAGACTTTTTGCTGGTTTCTCTTCCTATGTACGTATCCCTCTTGTTGCCGAATTAATTAAAAAAATAAACTTGTATACAAAATTCAGGCCGTGCAGAGTAGGGGGGAAATATATCAAATCCTGTTAAAGTACAAAATATTGAAAAAAAAACAGAATAAAAATCGTGCTTGTACCAAGCATGATTAATTATTAAGAAAAGGCCAGCTAATTAATTTGGCGGTTACTGAACAATGCCGAACAAATCACACAGCGGTTGCTTTCAGCTGATGTGAACAACAACTAGCATATGGTCCACAGCTTCCTGAAGTGAACAACAACGAAAGTGGGACAGGCACGTGCACAAACAAAAAAGCTAGACTAAAAATATTGCACCACATAAATAAAATGCCAAAAAGTTTGCAAAAAGCAGAGTAGTAATCTACTAATTTCTGGATGCAACAATATGCTATGAGCACTACTACGAGGCTGTCTACACATGCAAACAAGGCAAAGTTGCGTGCCTTGTGGACTGAAACAAATCTCAGGACGTAAACAGAGCTAGATAAGCATCGAGTCTGTCGTGTGTTAACCTAATTAATTATGCTTGCGAAAGGAAATAAGATGCAGCCAGAGGAAAATCCAAATAAAGTGCAGACGCTCCTAAAATTCCTGTCACATCGAATATTTAGACATATGCATAGAGTATTAAATATAGACTAATTACATAACTTGCAACTAATTTGTGAGACGAATCTTTTAAGCCTAATTAGTCAATAATTTGACAACGTGTTGCTACAGTAAACATGTGCTAATGATAGATTAATTAGGTTTAGAAATCGTCTCGCAAATTAACCTCCATTTATATAATTGGTTTTGTAATTAATCTATATTTAATACTCTTTATTAGTATCTAAAGATTCGACGTGACATGAATTTTAGAAACGACCCAATAAACAAACACAGTCGGCCAATTTCGTGGACCAGTGGACCAGCAGCGTTCCTAATCTTACGCTGACAGTAGGTCCATACAGTTTCCGTGTTGAAGTACTAGCAGAATCTTGCTGGAATTGCATGGCCAGCGAAGATTCACCTTTCAAGACACGGGTCCGGCAGCTGTCCTTGGTACGTGCCTGCAGACGGTTGTCCTGCACCCACGTCATGCACACGGTTTTTGAAGCAGTTTTTTTTAATTATTTACCCTTTCACTAAAAATCCGTTTTTCGTTTACTAATCCGGCATTCTCTCACGTCCAGCCGATATACCCGGTCATAAACATCTTTTTTTTTTTGTTCTCAATAAAAATGCCATTTTTACTTAATCTGTGTTTGTGGGGGGGTTTAATTTGCATTAGGGAAGCCATGCACGATTCATGCAGGAAGAAAGAAAAACAGTCCCGGGAACGGGAGATTAATCAGGAGGGGATTAGTTGGGCGGCGGCGGCGGTCAATCACCTGCTCACGGGCGAACTCCTCGGCGCCGTCGAAGGCGAGGTACGAGTGCGGCGACTTGTCCATGACGCGGCGCGCGAGGGAGACGGGGCTCTTGACGGTGGAGACGCCGGAGACGGCGCCGCAGCGGCGGCCGCGGCCGTCCATGATGCTGGCCTCCATCTCGACGGTGCCGGCGCGGGTGAGCGCGGAGCCACGGCCCGAGTTGAAGAAAGGGTCGGTCTCGAGCTCGCGGACCACGGCCTCCACGACGTCCAGCGCCTGCGCGCCCGCGCGCAGCAGGTCCACGCCCACCTGCAGGCACCGCGCCAGCACGCGCTTCGCCTCCTCCTGCCGGTGCTCCGGCAGGTTCGGGTCCACGCCCGCGCCGCCGTGGATGGCAATGGCCCAGCGCGCCATGTCCGTAGTCGTGCAGGGGCGGGTTGCTTGTACTTGCAGATGGCTGGGCCTCTGGTTCTCGAGGGATCTCGATCGCTCGGTGCCCTGCCCCCCGTGCGATGCGTGAAATTCTGTGGAGGATGTGTGAGGATGGAGAATGCCGGGTGGGAGGGCGGGGTATATTTATAGGGGTCGAGGGGAGGGCGTTCGTTCTCGTCGTGCTCTGCTCTGCTGTGCCTGTGCTCCTCTGGCCTGCCGGACGCCAGGGGGAATTCAGCTCAGTTTTGGGAATCTCGAGTCCGGGAGCGGCCGCCTGGCTCTGGCGGGCCCCTGGTCCGGTCTGGCCGCAAGGGCGAGCGCCGTGATCATCTGAGCAACTGTATTAGAATTTAAAAATCAGTATTTTCAAGGAATGTGATCTTTTATCAATAAATGGGTATATAATAACTTAATAAGACAAGTAAATTGAGTTAGCGGCATTCAAGATTTCTGCAATGGCTTATATATAGAAGATTGTATATTTTAAGCATAATATGATCGCAAAAACAATATTCTAAGATACTCCTACTCTTCTTTATTCTAAAATACTGTAACTAGGAGTACTTGGTCTCTCGATGTCTAACCTAACATTTGCCTCAAACCATGTGCCGTGGTGACTCAAACGTACTGTAAAAAGGAAAATTGACGCTTGGCCGTGTCTGGAGCAAAACAAGTCAAGGAAAGGGACTCACTGGCTGAGGTCTAGTACTGCTTGTGCTTTTCGCATGAATTTACCCAACGCCTTAAGATCCACTTAAGTATGTTGACGACACGCTTGTACCGTCAAGTTATCTTATGATAAACAGTCAACACAAATTACTGCGTATTCAAAAACGACTAATGCTGAGAGTAAGCCGCTCCAATTGGCTGGCCGTAGCAGCTGGCGCAGACCGGAACCCGGAGTTGCTGGCACAGACTATCAGGGGGCGCGTGCGATTCTGAGGTCACCGAGCCGAGCTCGTGGATTCCACACAAGCCACCAAACAAGTAGGAATCCGCAGGTGCGAGTGCGAGGTCACGCGCCGTGCGGCAGCGGAATCTGTGCCTCGGCCGGCCCGTCGTGAACCCGTGATGCGCTGATCTCCTCGGATTGCGTGCAGATTCCACCGCTTGGATCGCTGTCAATTCCATTTCTGTGAACCTAGATTCGTTTTCTTTCAACACGGCACCGTAACGGGGGGCGGCTTTAAATTGGTAATTTAATCGGTCATGGATCACTGTCGTTTGTCAGATTTGGTGAGCTCGCCGAAATTACCACATACGGAGTAGGAGTATCTGATTTTATATGCAGGGTAGAGCTGGTATATAGTTACTGCCGTATTATGGAACATATATCGAATGAGTCTGTCTATCAACAACCATGTGTTTTATATAGTTTCAACACATGAATTTTTTTATACCATAGAATTAAGATCCAATAACCTCCATCCTTCTTCTACCTCTAGCCTTCTTCTACCTCCAGACAATCACAAATCACAAGATCACATATTTACAGATCACGAGAAATAATTTTTTCTATACGAGGACAAATCGCGTCAGCGTGCTGCTGGACGAGCACCTCGCGCCCGAGTACATCTCATCGAGACCGCTGTCGGAGAAGTCAATCCGTTTCTAGCTTCGGGGTCCTGCTGCTGGCACTCGTCTCGGACCAGCGCATGCTCGAGCTCGGCAAGGCCTCCGGCGCTCTGCACAGCAAGGAGGGCGTCATGCTGAAGCTCCCGGCGGAGGGACAGATGGACACTGCAAACTGGAAATGGCGAGCTGGACATGGACGCGTATTCGGGGTCCTACTGCTGCTGCTCGAGCACGCCATGGCAGCCGATGCAACATCTCCGTGGCGTTTACAACAGGAGCTTCAGCCCCGACACCGATCATTCCATTCGCGTCAGTGAAGCAAACCACAACATGCGCTTGAAAAGAGAGAGGAAGAGAGAGAAAATACATGCGTTTTTTTATGCTAAAACACATGTGTGTTGTATAGCATTTCTGATATCGAATATGCTGGTGAATGCGTTGCTTTAGATATCTATTTTACCTTGTCACGTTTCGTAAACGATGACCTCCTTCTCTCTCTGTATCATGTTACAAATAAAAAGCTCTATATGGTATGTTACATAGGACGACATACGATACGGTCGATGTGGCATTATATATATTGATATTGATAGTTGAAACAAAAGGTATGTTACTCATTATAATATTATAAGTTATTAGTTGTTTTACCTTGTGACAAGGTAATTAAGGGCTTGTTTGGCACATCTTCGACTCCAGCTCCAACCGCAACTTCGGCAGAGGAGTCGAAGAACCCAAACATTTTAGGATGAGCTATTTTTCGGTGTAAGCAAGAGAAGTTAGAGCTGTTTTTTTATACAAAGCTGAAGCTGTATTTTGTGGCTCCTCCTTTTGGCTCTGACTCTTCCGAAGGAGTTCTTTGACAAGAGCCGTGCAAAATAAGCCCTAACCTCAGAAAATAATATTTATTAGTAAAACTTTGTATACCAACTTGTGCACCCAAATATCCAAAGCTTGCAGAAGCCCGAAATGACAGGTCTCTATATGCGTTTTTCCTTTTTCTAGTGATCCTTGCACTTGTGAAATGTCGATTTCCTATCAGTATTTAGTTCCATATTCAAATTACACCCCGGTTTTAGGTCGTATTTTCATTTTAGTGTTGTTCTAAGTTTAAATTATTTTAGTATGACCACGTAATAAGAAAAATATATTAACATCCATAATCTATCAAACAAATGTTCTCTGAAAATATATTTGAGAGTACCTACAGTGAATCTAGCTTAGCTTCAATCAAATTTGGCAACCAAAGAGAATCTTGTTTAATGATGTAATTGTCTGTGCATTTTTCTATAAAAGTTGAAATAGTCATTTTGGTTCCTCAACTATCATCTAAGGTTATTTTTATCCCTGAACTTTCCAAATGATCGTTTCAATCCTCTGGTCTCAGTTTCATTCCAAGACTGTCAAAATGATCGTTTTAGTTCTCAGACTTTGCATTTTGGGACAAATTTCATTCATGAACTATCAAAGTTTCAATCTAATCCCTAAGCTTTAATAGTTCATGGATGAAATTGAGCCCAAAGTACAGAGTTTGAGTAACGAAGCAATCACTTTGATAGTCCTAGGACAAAACTGAACCCAAAAGTAAAATTTGATGACTGAAGCAACCATTTTAGAAGTTTAGGAATGAAATTAAGCCTTAAATGATAGTTGAGAGACCAAAGTTACTATTTTATCTATAAAATTTGGTGAAAGTTTAAAAAAATTGAGTGAACTTGAAGTACCAAATTACTAAAGTTGGAGATCACTTATCAAAAAAAAAAGTTGGAGATCTGAAGCATCCATAATCTGTCGACCATTTCAGCTACAGTTAACTTCTTAGTCCATTCATTGCTGGACACTTGGAGATTCGTTTTACCCCTCATTTTCAGGTGCTAGATAATTTCAGACAAAAAGCATCCCGGACGCACATGCATCCCTTTCGAGTTTCGACCCAACAAATAACGTCACAGGGCATGTAGGAGGTCATTCCGTCAGGCACCAGCCAATCGGAATTAGCCCAACATGTGAGGCTTTTCTCCCCTTTCAAGTTGCTGGCGAGAAACACACACAAGCTACAGCTAAAGCTAGGTATCGTGCTTTGTGATAACGAATAAGCATCCGTTCTAGTGCAGAGCAGGCAGTTAGCAAAAAGGAAATTGCAAGCATGCATCCTCTAATAAAAAGAAACAATTAAAAAGAGGGAACTCTGGGAAAAAATATCAGATAAGAACAAAAGGGAAGTGCACGATGATGCCCGTCTTATTTCCTGTAATGACGCCATGCATGATGCTTGATTCACAAGGAGGTGAATCTTTCGAAATCAACCCAATTATTGGTCATATTATTGAGCATCGTGCTAGATGTATAACTCGAAGATTAAGACCCTGTTTGGACCAACTAAACTTTTTATCAGCTAATATTAACAGGAGGAAGCTAGCTAATAATAGCTTTTTTATAAAATGGGTGCTTAATAACTTAAATATGCTATGACTTGTATTCCAACTTCTGTGGGTGCGAGTGCGAGGTCACGCGCCGTGCGGCAGCGGAATCTGTGCCTCGGCCGGCCCGTCGTGAACCCGTGATGCGCTGATCTCCTCTGATTGCGTGCAGATTCCACCGCTTGGATCGCTGTCAATTCCATTTCTGTGAACCTAGATTCGTTTTCTTTCAACACGGCACCGTAACGGGGGGCGGCTTTAAATTGGTAATTTAATCGGTCATGGATCACTGTCGTTTGTCAGATTTGGTGAGCTCGCCGAAGTTACCACATACGCAGTAGGAGTATCTGATTTTATAGGCAGGGTAGAGCTGGTATATATTTACTGCCGTATTATGGAACATATATCGAATATACTAGTGAATGCGTTGCTTCATATATCTATTTTACCTGTCACGTTTCGTGAACGATGACCTCCTTCTCTCTCTCTATCATGTTATAAATAAAAAGCTCTATGTGGTATATTACATAGGACGACATATGCTACGGTCGATGTGGCATTATATATATTGATATTGATAGTTGAAACAAAAGTTATGTTACTCATTATAATATTATAAGTTATTAGTTGTTTTACCTTGTGACATGGTAATTAAGGGCCTGTTTGGCACATCTTCGACTCCGGCTCCAACCGCAACTTTGCAGAGGAGTCGAAGAACCCAAACATTTTAGGATGAGCTATTTTCGGTATAAACAAGAGAAGTTAGAGCCGTTTTTTTTATATATATACAAAGTTGAAGCTGTATTTTGTGGCTCCTCCTTTTGGCTCCGACTCTTCCGAAGGAGTTCTTTGACAAGAGCCGTGCAAAATAGGCCCTAGCCTCAGAAAATACTATTTATTAGTAAAACTTTGTATACCAACTTGTGCACCCAAATATCCAAAGCTTGTAGAAGCCCGAAATGACAGGTCTCTATATGCGTTTTTCCTTTT